GAATTACGTTTGAGATCAAGCATCACCTCCTCAGCGCTTTGCACGATCCAGCACCGTCTCACACCGCTTTGCTGATACAACACATTATCCTTCTCACGGAGAGTTTCAAGGACTCCTTGTAGTGCAACGCTGAGGCGGGCAGAAGCGATGGTAGTACTGGCCAAGGTTTTGTGGGGAGGTCGATGGTGGACTGCATGAACAGATGGCGCAGCTGATTGAGATCGCTGCGGCAGGGAGAGATTATTCCGCTCCGTGACGCCGACAATACTGCGAAGCCCAGGGGGCGATTTGTGTGCTTTAAGTGCATAGTACAAATATGGCAGCGGGTCTCTGTGTGTATATCCCCACCGATGATTCCAGAGCGCGTGATGTTCCAGGATATTTGCGACAGACTCAAGAGGCACATCATAGGTAGGGCTATCCAAATGAGCAGATAGATGAGACAGGTACCCGTCAAGGCCGACTCTAACAGCCTGAAGCACATCAGCGATTTGTCCATTAAGACGATACTTCGAGCCTTCATGGAACAAGTCACGAGAATATCATCAGGAATGATGTCGCAGTCGGCTGTAACAACATGGCCATCGACAGTCTGAGGGGTCAGGCATGGAGATCCCAGGTGTGACGTTGAGCGCAACTTCCGTGAAATTAGAGAATTGGACGCGAGTTGGCAGCAACAACTTATCACAGATACGCAGGTGTGCTGCGGCCTCAGGGTCAGGGTGCAAGTGGAGCACCTGGGGTGCATGCAAGGCTTGTCGCAACCCCGTTACCTATGACACCTCGTGCATGTGCACAACTTTAATACGATCAAGGAAGGCATCTCGAGACTGATCTGTGTATCCCTGGCCAACATGTTGATACTTCCGAATCAGGCATTCAAGCTGACGGATATGCGCAGTCATATCTGCATTGGAGATATTATTGCTCAACCACTGCAGCAAGCGGGCACGCCAAACTGACGTTGCTTGCTGGATGACAGATTCCATCTGCTGCGAATTGCCAGCAGCAGCCTGTGAGAGAAGATTGTGCAACGCAGACCGGATTTGAAAGTCAGGGCCTGGGCAAAAATCAATAGGTTGGGGCTGTTGATGGTCTGACGGACGAGGGCCTGTCTGTGTCCACCGATGAGGACGACGTTGTCGTCTTCTTGCAGGCAGGTGAGCAAGCGCCAGGACAGCGTTGAGACCAGCTGGATGAAGAGTCCGCAACCGGCGTACCCAATAGGCTTCCCGTGTCATAGCAGCCCGTCAAAAAAGGTTACGGTCAACAAGACCTTGCGATGTATGGTAAAGGGCCGGGTCAATACGTTCCAAGGGCCAGACTGCAAAATTGAAGGGGTTTTGACAAGACATGATACTGTAGAGCCGGCGACGCCGAAACTCCGCAGCAGAACGACGAACATGCCAATGTTCCTGCAAACGTTGATGCGAGGAGTGCATAGGCTGGGCTCGGTGTGTTCCTCCATGGCATCCGGTGCCACCGCAGCTGTTGTGTCCCCCTTGGTCTCGGTGTGTTCCTCCATGACACCGCAGCTGTTGTGTCGCCCTTGGTCTCGGTGTGTTCCTCCATGGCATCCATGACCACCGCAGTTGTTTTGTCGCCCTTGGTCTCAGTGCGTTCCTCCATGTCATCCATGGCCATGCCTGCATTACCACCTGCAGAGTCCCCTCTTCGGGTCTCACCTACAACTGCCCCCCCTGTCTCTGCTTCAGCCACTTCACCATCCCTGACTTCATTCCCCCCGTCTTCACCACCTATATATATATATATATACATATATATCGTCACAAACAGAACTGCCCGGTAAACCGTAGGCAGAGAGAGAGAAGAGGACAACAAACGAGGGGCTATATATATATACTTTTTCTATTTCCTTTCCTTTTTGTCTGTGACATGATATGCGGGTCTACAACAAGCATTACTTCCAAATACCGCAAGCATTTTTTCCAAAAGAGAGACGAGCGGAGATCAGAATACAACTAAGAAATTTAGAGTTGTTGTTAACCTCTCCACCTCAGGCAACTGGATGCTTATCTTTGGGATATCCATTAGACGATGAAGAAGACAATGCAATCGCTCCTCGCGGGACACGGAAGACGGGAAGCTAGCAATTTCCAGCCATTGCAATTGTCAATAGTACGTGGTGTGTTCTCGGCCATGTGATTTGTAACTGGTCCTCTGCCCAAGGGTGAGGAGGTAGGTGATAGACGAGTGGGGCATGGGTTTCCATGGTCAGGGTAACGTGGGCCACTAGTTTGCTCTGGAAATTTAGAAAAAGGGGCAAAAACTGATCACACGAGACCACCAGGAGGTTCTTGCCTGGTAGGGTCATTTGAAATTTTCACAAGGGCCAATCTGTGAATACCCCCATAGGAAAATATAACAGACACAGAAAAAGGATTAAGGGGAAACAAAGAGGAAATGAGGATCAGCCTATCAGGCAGTTAGGACAGCTGGGAGGAGAGGAGGGGAAGCAGAAACATAAAAGGAAAGGAGCCGAAGAAATAACCCCTAATTAGGTATGTGGATCATAACTAAAGAACGAGGGAAGAGTGGGGATTACACGCTAGCATCTCTTTTTTTTTTTTCCCACTTCGTTTTTTTGTTTTGTTTTTTAGAATACACGCTCCCATCTCGATTGCGGCTCCGTCCACATGCTTCCTGTCATGAAGCAGCGACCACAACGTATGCATCAGAGAGCGCAAAAGGGTAACCATTGCCCGTACCCGGCCATATACCCACCCTAACTGTCCCTAACTGCCCCTACCTGTCCTTAACTGTCCCGAACCGCCCCTAACTGTCCCCAGCTGTCCCTAACCGCCCCTAGCTGTCCCTAACTGTCCCTAGCTGTCCCTAACTGTCCCTAGCTGTCCCTAACTGTCCCTCGCTGTCCCTAACCACCCCTAGCTGTCCCTAACCACCTGTGCTCGTCACCCACCCTCCCCAGGGACAGTTAGGGGAGGGTGGGTGACGAGCACGGGTGGTTACGGGTGGGTGCATACAATAATGGGTAGGTACGGGTGGGTACAGATAAAGAAAACTTGGGTAGGGTAGTGTATGGGTGCTTAACAAACGGTTTGGGTTCAGGTGGCCATGGGTGGTTTTGAAAAAAATTGTTCATGGGTAGGTATGGCCATAGGGGTAGGTTCAGGTAGGGTAGGTCTGGGTATACCTTTTTTTTTTTTTTTTAGCAGGTGGAGATGGGTAAAGGTCCCGCACGCCAGGTATACAGTGGGTATGGGTGGTTGGTTTTCAAATCGAGTGTGGTTAGATCAGGTACAGGTATTCCTAAAAATCCCAGTTGCGAACTCTGGTATGCATGAAGCTCGCGCATGTAGCGTGCACCACGCACATGCCATACGCTATGTGGCCATACAGGCTTGAGGAGAGGGGATAGATGGGGCATGGTTAGGGTGATTTTATCATGGACAAAAGAGAGAAAGGGGCAGCCAATGGTACCATCCCTGCCCCGCTTTTGAAAAACAAAACGCCTTGTTAAACGCTTTCAAATTTTTTGATTTCACAGTGTCCATTGCACGCATTTGGCCCTTGGCTGAGTGTGAATGCAATGATCAGCAGAGAATGTGTTCCACCAGTTGACCGTCACCCACTCATTACCCATCCCCCTTTCCCTCCCCCCTCTCCCGCACTTTTGAAGCATTCGGGCCACCCTCCTTCCCCACCTTTCCAGTCCCAACGCCTACTGCGATGCTTATTCCCAGTCCCTTCACCGTCCTTTCCCACTCTACTGCAACTTCAATAATTCTCTCCACCCTGTTTTCCCCTGTCCACCCTCCCACCCCTATTGCAATGCTCTTTCGCCAACCTCCTTCCCTTCCCTCCCCCCTCCTCCTATAAGTTCAACATTTATACATAGTACATACCATCCATTTCCTCCCTTCCCTCTACTCGCAATAGTTTGACACTTTTTTCCATCTTTGCCCCTCCTAAGTTCAACATTTATACATAGTACATACCGTCCATTTCCTCCTTTCCCTCTACTCACAATAGTTTGACACTTTTTTCCGTCTTTGCCCCTCCTGTTATGATCCTGGCCAATTTCGAAGTACACATTCATCAGAAAGTACAATGCCGTCCAATTGCAAAAAGAAATGAATGAACTTGAGAGGAGAGAGAGGGAAAGAACAAGAAGAAGAAGATGAAAGGAAGAAGAGGGATTTGGATATTGATTCTGGTTCAGCCATGGTGGACCTCGTGTGATGCCTGCAGTAGAAGAGGGATTTGGATATTGATTCTGGTTCAGCCATTCAACACTATTATTATTATTTCTTGTTTGAATAAGAGGTGGGGAGATAAGGAGGAGGAGAGTGGTTGGCCAAGAAGGAGGGAATTCTCATTGGTCTTTGCTGGTCTAGTGGTCTACATCTCCTTCTTCTTTCTTTCATCTTCTTCTTCTTCTTCTTTCCCTCTCTCTCCTCTCAAGTTCATTCATTTCTTTTTGCAATTAGACGGTGGGTTGTACTTTCTGATGAATGTATCTTCGAAATTGGCCAGGATCATAACACTCCCCCCTTTCCTCCACGTGTTGTAATGCTTATTCTCCGCTTGCTATTCTCTGCCCACCAATCCGTCCCCTCCTCCCCACCCTCTTTCACCTCCTGCAATGCTGATGCTTTTCCCCTCCTTCTTACCCCCTTCCCCCCCTTCTACCCCAGTTTCAAGGCTTTCTACACCCCATAGAACCGTACCACACTGCATGGCACGCTGTCTGCCATACTGCACCGCTTTTCCTGCAGCCAGCCAGGTTTCACACTGTGCAGCACACCCTACCAGTACACCGAATAACTCCTGCAAGTGTGACAGTACTTCCATTGCAGTGACCACTGGCAATGAGACATAGCAATGCATCACAACATTATGCTACAAACCAGTATCATTCAGCCAACACTGTTTCTCACTGTTTGTCGTGAACTTCAGGACTTTTCTAGAGAGGATCTAGGCCTGGCAGGATTCCAAGCTGGGCAAAGTGACCATACCTGTACCCGGAAAGGCCTTAGCAGTACTCTCTGAAGAACAAAATTCGGCAGTAGCGCAATTGGCGGAAGCTGACACAAGTAGCCACACCCCCAAATCAAACAGCCACCATGTGAAAACACGCACATGCTCTCTCTCTCTCTCTCTCTCTCTCTCTCTCTCTCTCTCTCTCTCTCTCTCTCTCTCTCTCTCTC